AATAAGCCTAGGATAACACACTAATAACACTAGAGAACCTCCTGTTGGGTGATTAAAAGTCAAAAATTTTTTAAATGTAGCTTTTATAAGCCACGTGTGGTGGCACACACCTATAATCCCAATACTCAAGAGGCTGAGGCAAGAGGATTGCCATGAGTTGGAGGTCAGACTGGGCTATATAGTGAACTCAAGACCAGCATGAACTACATAGTGAGACCTTGTCTCAAACCGAAACTAACAATAAATAATTTTACCTTTTGCATGCACTTGTTCTATTTCTCATCTATCTCAGTTCTTTGCTAAGTGTACATGGGGCTGAAATGCTAAGAACTACTAAATCCTCGACAAGAACTACTGTATATCTTAACATACAGAGAAAGCTGTTCTTCCTCAGCAATCTGAATGCTAGCTATTTTATAATTAAAATCTATAAAGTGAAATCCACAGGTAAGTAAAGAATTAGCAAAGTAAATATTGATATAGACTCAAACATCTCCTAGTATGTGGTTTTTAAAAAAACTTTCTACTTTGAAGTAATCATAGACTCACAAGTACTTAGATTTAATGGTTTGTAAAGTCTCTGTTTCTGAGTGTCTCAAGGTACCACTATGGTCATTTCAAAATCAAAATTTAAACTGCTAGAAGTTTATGTGACTTTCCTTTAGCACATGCCTACCTTAACACAACTGAGTTTGTCTGACTTTCAAACTCTTAGTAGTTTGTTAGATATAATTAGAAATTGTTAATGAAAGCATCCTAGCTAATTGAGTACTAGCTCCCTGTTTTCTGGAACACTGGTGGTGAACCTGTGGCATACATGCCCCAGGGGGCTGTTTGTTATCACTGAAAGCTCTAAAAGGTTCATCATCACTGCTCTAAAATAAGAGATTCTTTTTAGAATCTTTACAGAATTTTTATTCATGGTAGATATCCTGTGGGAAGAACTGATGACATCAGGATTGTCCAAGGAACATTTTTATCAGTGTGTTTGTGCCTTTGTCACAAAAACAAATCATTCTAACTCATTAATGTACCTATACTAAATATGCTAAGTTGTATATTGAACTTGTTTAATGTAAGGTGGAAAGCTTTCTCTGTTTTTTGTATTTTGTAAAATGTCCCTCTTTAATCTCTTTTGAAAGCCTAAAGATGCCAGGTAATAACTATTGTACTGTACAACCATCATTTTTTATTTTCTTTTGGGTACCAGGGATTGAACTTGATACCTTGCACTTGCCAGGCAGGTGTGGCACCACTGAGCTAAATCCCCAGCCCTCCATCATTTTTTATATATAATGTTGTGAATAATTTCTTCCACATTCATTATGAGCTCCTAAATTAGCTCACTAATATTGCTCTGACAGGAATCACTAATTGGATATTGTTCCAAAATTCAGAGAAGCATTTTGCAGCAATGTAATGTAAAAAAAGCAACGTAACAGCGTTGGTGAGGCTTCATAATTCTTTTCATCTGGCTCTTCAGTATATTTTGGTTTCCTACCACCAGCAAAAGCTAAACGCGTACATACTGTTTGCCTGGGCTGCCAGTAGCCATGCCTCCTTTGTAACCTTGTATGTAAAATAACTTAGAAGCCAGAAGTTTTAGCATATTAATCTCCTCTTAGTGCATAATTATTGATATATGGGATAATTGTTAGCATGCTTAGCTCCTACCTGAAGAATTTATCTTCTCTGTATATGCAGGCATTTGATGTATGCACTAACCTCCCTGAAATCTTATGCTTCTTTGTTTTGTTTTGCATGGCTTTTAATAAAACTCTTATCCAACAGATGCTGAGCAGGAATTACTCTCAGATGACGCTTCATCTGTTTCACAAATTCAGTCTCAAACTCAGTCACCGCAAAATGTCCCTGAAAAATTAGAAGGTATTCAATGTAATTTCCCATAGCATTCACTGAGTAGTCTCAAGAGTCTGCCCCCTGTCATTTATTTTCATATAAGAAATTGAACAACTAGTCACAGTAAGTTTACCATGGACTTTACTTGAGTCTCCCAAAAATTTTTATATTTCTTATCAAATGGGGTACTATGTTTTGTTTATCAACATTTTTACTGGCTTACTGTACTGTAGACTTTTGGCATCCATACTTTCTAAGAATTTGTGGACTTAAAATCAATTTGCTATACATCTTTAATCAGCAGCATGAAATCTTCATTTCTGATTGCCACATGACCCCAAAACTAAAGTATATGTGTCTTCCTCATTTATACTGACTTGATTTGCAGTGAAATTATCATGTCATCAGATCAGAATACTCTATCTCTTTCACTTAACAACTTTGTTCTCATCCCCTTTATATCATTTAAGAAAATTAGCTTCATACTAATAATTTATGAAAATAATGATCTGTCTTCATCAGAATTAAAGTAATGCCTTAGAACATTGCCAAAACCTGTCAGTTTTACAAAATAAAACAGAAATGTTAACTTGTAAAATAAACAAAAAAATCCCTCCCCTTTTATAGAAAACCATGAGATATTTTCCAAGAGCTTCATCTCCATGGAAGTGCCTGTCATGGTAGTAAATGGCAAGGATGATATGCACGATGTTGAAGATGAGCTTGCCAATCGAGTGAGTAGATTAACTACAAGTGCGACCATAGAAAACATCGAGATTACCATCAAGTCTCCAGAAAAAATTGAAGAAGTCCTATCACCTGATGGCTCACCTTCAAAATCACCATCTAAGAAAAAGAAGAAATTCCGCACTCCTTCTTTTCTGAAAAAGAACAAGAAAAAAGAGAAAGTTGAAGTCTAACTAAAGTCTTTTTATAATTACTACAATGTGACATTACACATTGAATACCACTTTTAAGTTGATCATTAATATACAGTGGTAGATCAGATTGGGGGTATGTAGCAAACTGGACTTTAAGAACTGGAAGAAGTTTTACTAAAAGAAAAATATTATGAAAAAAAACTTTGAAATTCATCTCTTTTTATATGTCAAAAAATGGCTTTGAATTTTTAAACAATTGCTAGTTTTAATTAGCTCTGCTGTCATGAAGTATTGTTATAGTTCGCCACAAATATATCTCTGAATTACTTCAGGACTTCTTCATAATAACTATTGGAAAGAAATTGCCAGGGAAGAAATGAGAATATTTATTTCTCCACACCTGCTACAGTTAATAGTCAGATTATGATTTTTAAATTATGATTATTGACTGTATCTTTTGGGTCCCCAATGTTTCAATGGGCATTTAAAGTTTTAAGAAAAGATTTGTTTGGAGTTTTACTCAGTATAAAATTTTCTCACCTGAAGTAACTTCATTTGCCAAAAAAGGTCATTTTAATAAACTATAATTTTTTTGAACACTTCTTTTTTTATTAGTTTAGAAAAGCCCCTTATTTTTCAACAAAGGGGATTTTGTACATATAACATGGGTTATTTAGTTTAACTCTGGCAAAAACAATTTTTATATGTTGAGATGTTTGTATACCATTCAGTATAAAAGTGTCATATGCATATTAGCCAATCACTTAACAGTAGGGCACATTCGAGACTGCTTGGTACTGAAGTATACTTAAATATAAGTCAAGAATCCAGGGACTTGGTATCAAAGGGGGGTTAGAGCCATATTAAAAGTATATCTAGATTCATATTTGAAGCTTATAATGTATTTTTCTCTTAGTACTGCTAGTGAATGAAGAAAATCTCATAAGGTAACCAAATGAGAAGGAAAAGAATGAAAAAGAAAGTGAAAAACTAAGGGAACAAAAGATGGGATGTGGAAAGAATTCTTGTTTGATAATAACTCCTATTCATGACAGGATATATAGCATGACTTATTGAAAACATGTCCCAAGTTTCTGAAATCCTGCTCCTCTTCCAAAATCAGTATCTTGATTGATATTTCAGTTTTAAAAGGGTCAATCCTTCGAAATTGTTTATCTTTAGAGGGCAGCATTAGAAGAAATCAGTGGTCTAATCCCTAAGAAAACTACCACTTCTTGATTTTTTACAATTTTTTAAATCTTTTTAGTTAACTTTCTAATGTAAATACAAATTTAAACCTAGACCTAATATAGTTTTCCCCTTTTTCACAAGTGATGTCACAAATCAATGTAAAATCAAAGATCCCAAATGGTCAGTGGGTAAAAATAATCCAAAGTGTTCTGAGGGGTGAGTTAGCATGCAAGAAGTTCTGTGGCTCGCGGTATGTTCTGGGTGGGTTCTGTCTGTGTGTGCTGCAGAGCTGACACGGAGCCTGGGACATCACTCGACCTCACTAACTACTGGAATCAGTGTTTTCATCTTAGTGGAAACTTTCAATTGCTTACTTGTGTATGTGAGGATTATTTTATGTTCTACATCATTTATGTTGTATTATGATGTATGTAGAAACAGTAACCTGTGAACTATGCCTTTCCATAACTTTTTTAAAATATATATATCTAAATGAATGCAATGTGCATAAATATTTTTTAAAGCAACCATAAACTATTGCACCTTTTGCTAATGCCTCTGTTTACTTGCTTTAACATAATGAATGAGCCAATGAACTTCTGTGTCCTGTGGAAAATGTATAAATGTTATCTGATATTGCTCTTAGATGTTATGCTAATTAATGTTAAATCACAAATAAACAGTATTTTAAGTATATAGATTTGGTTTTATGAGGCTTCCATTCAAGAGTGGTTACTTACCCTATACTTTGTGGTCTGTTGAATTTTATAGTTCAGTGAAACTGCAGTGCTACTGAATAAGGAACATTTTGATAAACGTATTTGCAAATTAGTTAGAAATAGGTATATATACATATATATATGTATACATATATATAAATATATGTCTTTTATATGTATAATGTACATATAAAATGTATAATATGTGCATATAAAATATATAAATACATATATTTTGAGACTTGCTGAGTCACTAAATTGCCCAAACTGGATTCAGACTCCTGCCAGAGTGTTAGTATTACAGACAGGTGCTACTGCACCCAGCTATGAAACTTTTCATCTTTTATTGGAGGGAACATTCTCTATTATTTTAGGCCTTGATAGGACATAGTGGCCTTAGGCTTCTTATAAACTTGTTCATATCTATCAAGGTAGAATAGAAAATGTTGTAAAATATGTACTGAGTTTACACATTACCCCTTTTTGATTTTTAATGTTATTATACAAATAATGTAAAGAAAGTAGAAAAAATAGAAAACAGTTCACAATTCCACCACATTGATATTCAAACCTTTTGTTCCCTTCTAGCTCTTGGCCAGTTATACATGTATTTTCTATACATAATCACAGTATGAATGTAATCTCTATCCTGGATTTTTTTCTACTTAACCACTCAAAAGATTTTTAAACTAAAACCTCACATGAATAATTTCTTGTGACCTTTTTTTCCCATTTTATCCTAAAAATAGAGTCCAAGAGGGGGAAATCATGTTAATTGAGGGTTCTAGTTAATCAGATTTTTTACTATACCTATTACAAAAATGAAGGGCTTGGGCAGATAAAGAATAGATTCACAGTCTTGGGCATACTTGTTACCTTGGGTTGTAAATAACTCTGTAGTAAAAATTGCTGTGTCAGAAATCTGTTCATTTCAAAATTTCCTTCTGTAAAGCAACAAAAACCATTATCTTCAGTTCTCCCTTCAAAGTCCACTGAAAAGTAGTTGCCTGTTCAACAAGAAACAGAACTGAATGAATAAAATTGTTATAGCATTAGTTTCTCTTAACATTAGCTCCTTCTTTTACATAAGCAGAAAACACAATAAAGCCAAATTGCTTCTTTTTTAAACTGAAAGATTATGTATACACATACTCAAATTGCAATCTTGGCCAGACCGGAATTTTAAAAAGAACAATCTTAGTGGCCGCTAGAGGGTGGAATAGATCTAACGATCCAGTGTGTTTCCATTCTTCAGCTCAGCGCCCCTTTTCTCAGTCTGTCAGCATCATCTGTGCGGTGAAGTAGCTGGAACTTGGAAGACATCTCCGCTGCTGATTCTCCTCACTAGGCCGTTCTCAGCTGCTCTGGTAGCACGTCCCATTTCACCAGTACACAACTGCAGTGCCTGTGGAAAACACACTGACAATTTCTGAGCTGTATGGTGTCAGAAATTGGTAGGCATAAGGCCTCTGAGGAATAATTTCCTGTAAGTGGCAGTAAGTAAGTGGCCTCCTTCGATAATTGGCAGGGTTTTTGACTGAAGAGCTAGTTGTCAACCTTTCTGATGCCTTCTGTGTAGCAAAGATCACGATAGGTGCGTTTCCCATGCTGACTCATTTGGCCTACCCAACAGAGAGAGTAGGAGATGTATCCTTGTTCTGCAGATGATGGAACTAAGGGTTATAAAAGGCTGAAAGGAGAGGGCATTTCACCTGTAGATACACACTTCCAAAGTCATTGGTGCCATCTGTGTACTAGGCTCTGTGACTCCGGTGTAGACTTGCGGGCTTTTTTAGAGGGAAGCCATTCCCTCCATTTAGACTTAAAGTCCAGCCATGGGGAACTCATGTTGATATAAGTACATTTGGGACCAAACATTGATTTGGAAGACCCCTCCCCCCAACAAGTTGCCCCAGAATAAAGAAGGTGATGTAATGGGAATGAGCAGTGGTAATAGGATCCTTTGGGATGAAGAACCAGTTCTCTAATGTTCTCCATGACATCTGGAAGACAAGGTATCTGGACCTTTGCCCAAGAGGCAACAAAGAAGCTCCGGCACAAGCCATAATCCAAGCCTATGGATTGGAGGCAAAGGCAGGAGGGTTGCAAGTCAGACCGACCTGGGCAACTTATCAAGACATTCTCAAAAATAAAGACTAGGGTGTAGCTCAGTGGTAGAGCATTTGCCTACCAGGTGCAAAGCCCTGGGTTCATTCCCCAGTACCACCAAATTTGAAAAAAAAAAAAAAACCTTGGAAAGAAGCCCTTTATCTTTTTTGGGTTCCAGTATTTGAAGCAGGGGAGACATTGAAAGGCAAATGTTTTTAAAACTCAAAATGGGTCTGGGGATTTAGCTCAGTGATTTTGCTGCCTGCTGCGCAAGCACAAGGACCCGAGTTCAATCCTTGGTACCAAAAAAAAAAGGGGGGGCCGGGGATTTAGCTCAGTGGTTTTGCCACCTGCTGCGCAAGCCCAAGGACCCAAGTTCGATCCCCGGTACCAAAAAAAAAATGCCTCAATGATAGCTTAGTCATAGGGGTAGTTTTAAAGATCAAACGTGATTGTAGCTACTCAAAATTTTACTTACATGAATCTAATTAGATCTAGTCTTCCTTGGAGAAAAACCTGATGTACATGCTGCATTTTAGAACAAGAATGATTTTTGAGGAACTTCTTATGGGAAAAAAAATTTGCAAATTTAACAGTACAGTGGACCCTTGGCTTACCAACTCAGTTTGTTCTCGAGGGGTGGTTGTAACTCAAGTTGGTCAGTTGCCTTCAAAGTCTCTCTCCTTTATAATTTAAGGCCACGCTTTCTTCAAGGCAGATCTCAGGGTCCTTAGAGACATTGGCCCAGGATTTCTCAACCCCACACAGGAGAGGATGCTGTAATGTTCCTTCCAGAACTCTCTAAGGGTTAAATCTGTATCTGAGACCATCTGGAAGAACAAGGGGCCGACATTCCGGTCATAACTCAAGACTTTGGTCGTGAGTTAAAACTAAAATTACAGTCATAACCCAAGTTGTTTGTATGTTAGGCTGGTCATAACTCGAAGGTCCACTGTATTCAAAGGGGTTTCATTTCTAAGACATAACCATTAGGGGGCAATATTGGGTCCACATTTAGTGTTGAGGGACCCTCCTTCAAAATTTTGAGTTTGGATTTGTTCTGATTATCCATTTCGGGATGCAGACTAAGGTTAAGGAAAGTTCATAGATAACCATATTACTCCATTTGTTCCTTATACCAAAGTTATATTGTTCCAGCTGTGAGGGGTCCACTCTTCAGAGAGGTTGTGCCTGCCTGTGTGGCTCAGAGGCGGAGCCAGGACTCGAGCAAAGGTCTCTGAAGTCTGCATCTCACGCTTCCTTCCGTACCACGACTCCCTTGGAAATGAATTGGATCAGAACCTAGGAGCAGGTAAATACATGGTTTTCCAAAGTTTCCTGCCAACTGATATTTAGACCTTTAGGATGGGAATATTTAAGAGAAAACACTGCAAGATTGAGCTTGTATATTATTTATCAATACCAATTGTTTTCCTAAAATTTAAAGTTGTTAATTCTCCATGAGTCTTTTGCATATTCTCTCAAATTAGTCATGATGCTGATTTCTTTTCTGTTGGAACTTACAATTTTTAAAATGCTGTTTGTACCTTAGATGGCACACTGACACATTTTAATGTTTCTTTATACCAAAAGGAAAAACTTGTATCTACCAGAAAAATTGAGAGATGGCTAAAAATCTAGCGCCTAGTTTGTTTAAGGCCTATATAATTTCTGGTTGCATAAATCTTGACACTGAAGCTATGGCGAAGATGATTATGCCAGCTTGTGTACCTAGGTATGTTTCCTTTAGGAACACGACACCTTTAGGTCCTGTCTCTCTAGAGCCAACTTCGCACGTGCCTATGATGGACAATCCCTTGTGGTTACTGTAAGTTCCACGTAACTGCTGTCACCAGGCAAAATACCAGTTCCCTGCTAATTATGCCTTAAAATCATAAGCATTGGCTTTCTTAGTCAAATTTGAATGTGTACTGAAGTATATTTCTAAGAAATTCTTAAGATTTTTCAAATCTGTTTTTGAAATAGCAAATAATTGATCTGTAGTACAGGTCTGTAGCATCAAATGAAAGGATTTGTAAACAAGATTTTTCCATTGTTAGACTCTGCCTCTCAGCCAGTAAATATGTGAGCTTGTAGAAAAACCACATTTGAGTGTTAGCTAATTGAATTTATTAAGCCAAACAATATCCCTTCCGTTTGCTATTAGATGGAAATTCTCAAGAAAAAAAACCTTGAATTTCCCAAAGCAGTACAACAGGCATCCTGACAGACAGGAGTGGAAATGAGGAAGAGATGTGTTATAAAATGTGCGCTTTAAAAGACAGACTCGGCATGGCAGTGTACATCTATCAGCCCAGCACTCTGCGAGCCAGAGACAGGGATGTCTCAAGTTCACAGGCTGGGGATGTGGCTCAGTGCAGAGGCCCTGCTTCAGTCCCCACTACTGGGGAAAACAAGGAAGTAGAACCTGTATTTCCCTCAGGTACTCTTGACTTCGATTATGTTTTTTGTTTTGTTTTGTTTTCTAGACATAAATCTTTATTAGTACATTTCCGATACATAACAAATACATTAATTCACTGGACAAAACTTCTTCAGTTAAGACACCTAAATTTTTTCTTGTTTTTCTGAGACAGGGTCTCGCTGTGTAGTTAAGACTGGCCTGGAACTCACTATCTAGCCCATATCCCAGGCTGACCTTGAATTCAAAGTAATGCTCCTGCTTCAGCCTCCCTAGTGCTGAGATTACAGGTGTGTGCCACCGTACCTGACCAAATCCTTTCGTTAAAACAGTCAACCCATGGCTGGGGATTTAGCTCAGTGGTTTCGCCGCCTGCTGCACAAGCGCAAGGACCCAAGTTCGATTCCCCCATACCAAAAAAAAAGGTGAGACCCTGTCTCAAAGAAACAACAAACACACACAGACACACACACACACTCCCTCTCAGGTAAAGTTTTGTTTTGTTTTTTAAAACATGGTATCAACCCCTGCCTGAACTTGGAGCTGCTGTGCTGGTAAGCCCTTTTCAGTGACCTGCCAGCAAAGTGTTTTGTCCTTACTTAAAGTAGTATTTTCTTTGATAGATACAATCTAAACAAATAAAAAGTTTTTCCACAAGCGATACTTGTGAAGCTTCTCCGCAAACAAGAAGTAGTTGTTGAGCTCCACACCTCCCCTTTCCTGTTGAGTAATGCTGGGGCTGGGGGGCCGCAGTGATGACTGCTGTGAGACTGACTTCAGGGCAGATGACCTCGGTTTTATGGGAGAACACGTGGGTACAGCCAACTTGTTGGCAGGCACAGGCAAACCCTTCCAGCAGTGTTTACTGGACTAACAAGTTAAGATTAAACATTACTTCCTACCTGGTTTCTATTTTGGAAATGTTGGCTTCAGTTGTTTCAGCTGGAAAAAGTGGGTGGCAGGGGGTCATTTGAGGCTAAGATACCCAAGAACATATCTCAAATTATCTACTAGTCCATGGGCTGAGGGATTGGAAGGTGGGTTCCCATTACACCTGAATTTTTCTGTGGGATTGGCCTTTATATTATTTTACCCGAGCATGGTGGCTCATGCCCACAATTCGAGCACTCTGGGGGGCTGAGCCAGGAGGATTGCAAGCTCAGACTCAACCTGAGCAGCTTACTAACTTAGCAAGACCCTGTCTCCAAATAAAAAGTTTAAAAAATGACTGGCGATGTAGCTCAGTGCAGAGGCCCTGGGTTCAGACCCCAGTACCACAAAAAACAAATCAATGAAATATATTGTGTAATAAAGCTGCTTTGTTTTAAAATATATATATCTTTTAGATAGTTTTGTAGGAATCAGCCTACAAGCTGAGTTCGAACCTGACCAGAGGGTGACGACAAGGAAAAGTAGACACAGAAAGAAGTTAAAATCTGAGGGCCAAGGGGGCTCGTGTCTCCCTTCAACACAGAGCCCTAAATGACCGGCTCACCTTGGCTTTATTCACTCAGGCACAGGCGCAGGCAGCGAGGGTTGCAAAGGACTCACTGCCTCCCACCCTCCACTGCAGTCTCGGGAAACGTCGCCGCAGGTGCTTACCTCTCCCTGCAGCTGTCAGCACACTCGCGTGCCCTTTCTCCTCACTGCTCACCGAGGAGGCCAATGAGGCCTCGTTCTTCCCACCTGCTCTCCACATAGTTTTATATTTTAAGATGTGTACATGAAGCTATTTTGTAGATGGTTACTCTCATCTCCATTTTGACCTTGGTGTTAGTATTGAGCAAGAGCACATGCATGTATAGTTGCCAAAGTTAGGCTGAACAGTAAACTGCAAAGCAGGGCAGACTGGGTGGGGCAAGCTCTGGAATTCTTCCTACTCATCACTGCCGCCACCACCAAGCAGAGTCAGGTGTGAGACGAGAGCCTGAGCTGCAGGCTCCTACAGCAAATCCAGCCCAGCAGGTGAGACATGGAACCTGGGCAGAGCGGCAGAAAGCCAGACCGCCATCCGGTGCAGTGGTCTACGTCAGGGAAGCTCAAGTCCCAGCCTGGAATCCGGAGCCAGACAGCAGGACTGCAGAAGTCCTGTGGGACGTGTAGGAGTGCAGCCACAGCTTCAAGCGCAGCGCTTCCCCCACTTCCTATGGGGTCATGGCAAGATCAAGGCAGGACCTCGGGCTTAAGGGGCCCAAGTAGAGTTAGCAGTGTATCAAGACAGGAAGTCAGATGTGAAGAGGGACTGGTAGGGACACTGTTACCGGAACTAAGACACCACTGCTGAGAATCCAGAGCTCAGCCAAGACAAGGTCCTGACTGGCCTGGTGGCAGACATGGCTCAGTGTGGGTGGGTTCCACAGGCAGAGGCCAGCGCTTCCTCAGTTCCTCCAGCCTCAACAAGAGTAGTCCTGGAAACCACAGCCAGGTGAGCCGACCAAGCAGCCCCAGCTGATGGGGAAGAGAACCTGGCATGGCTTGCACAGTGGAAGCATCCGTGTGACAAGATCAAGCCATATGGGAAGGCTGAAGGAGTGGGTTGTTATAGTTTGTGCCAGAACCTGCCTGGGAGCAGGAGCAAAGACTACTGAGCAAGGGCCCAGTGCTCGCAGCACTCTAGCTCTGACAGTCGGCCCGTGTTACTTCCAAACCAGTTTCCCCGTCGACATCTTGGCTGGAAGGATGGCTCTGCCTCCCCTACTGGGAGCAACATCAGATACTCCTGGGGAGCACTAACTGGATAGAAGAGAATCAAGGCCTGAGGTCTGTTTGCTGCCCTTTCTGGAAGAAAGGTGTGTAGGTAGGTCTCTATCCTCCCAGAACAGCTGGGATCCACGGGGTTTGTCCTTGTGACCTTCTGTGGTCATATTGTCCACTTTTGCCCAAATAATCACCTCTCCATCTGCTCCTTCGCCTGCTGCCAGTGAGAAGCACTCCCTCGGGACTTCAGTCTGCTCCTCATCTGGGGGACCTAGGAAGGTCTGGTTCCCAGTGCTCTGCACCCACAGCTGTCTGTGCTGGCTGGCCCTTCCCCAGCCCCGGCCAGCGGGCCCTTCACACCCTCTGACCTGACCTGGTGCCGGCTTCCCAACTCTGCAGTAGGCCCACCAGGGAGATGCTTCCTTTCGTCAGCATGACCAGCAAGGTGATAAAATACATAGAACTTGGATTAGAACCAGTGTCAATAAGGCCTGAATGTTGGTAATATTTATTATCATCACTTTTGTGTGTGTGTGTGTGTGTGTGTGTGTGTGTGTGTGTGTGGTTTTTGTTTGTTTGTTTTCTGAGACAGGATCTCACTAGTAGCCTGGGCTGGCCTTGAACTCATTACGTGGCCACTGTGTGGCCTCCAGCTCACAGCAATCCTCCTGCCTCAGCCTCCTGAGTGCTGGGATTACAGGTGTGCACCACCACGCCCGCCCGGCTGTCACTCTTTTTGGTCTCTTGATCTGCTAGGGCAAAGATTAAAGGATAGCTGGCCTGCCCCTCTCACTGTTACTGTTAAATGCTGCCCTTCCTATTCTTCTTAGGAGTCATTGCAGAACTCTGACCAAGTTCCCAGTCTTTAAAAAAGGATAGAAGATGAGCGGTGAACAGGTAACTCTAATGTGCCCTAGTGCTCATTGCTGGAAGGTAGTTTATGCCCTGGGACGGTGACAGGTGAAAGAATTGTTAAGCTGATTCCTGCCACACTGGGGTACTCTAGATCAGGAGGCCCTAAGACGGCTTCCCGAAGAATCCTGAGGGATGTGATGAAGCACTGCAGTTCAAAGGTGCTGGCAGAGGAAGCAGCCTGCCTCTTGGGCTCTTGTTGGAAACGGTTAATTTCCTGGCTCTTTGTCCCTGGAAAACTGAGCGCCATCACACAGAGGGTTGGTCACGGCCCCAGCTATTTCATTTTGGGCATCTAAGCGAGTCTCATAAGGAAGGTTACAGATGCGTCACGATTTAGTTTTCTGTCTTGGGGATGTGCTGTGAGTTCCGGCTGTTCTCTTCACAGTCTAGAGAAGACAGAAAAGGCAGGTGAGTGTCAGTCCTAGGAAACAGAGATGCTGAAGACAAATCTGCCAGTACTCACAGTATCGTATTGTCCTGGGGAATGGGGTGGAGCATGTAAAAGGAAATGGGAAAAAAAAGTAAATTTTTTTCCTACATCAATTTTATTTTGAAACTTAGTCATATTACAGACCCTCGTACTTATGAGGGAAAAAACAAGGAAAAACACACCCAAATACCATGTATTTAACCATGATGATTTCTAGGTGGTGGGATTACAAAGGTTTTTTGTTTTTTACTTTTTAAATTTTCAAATGTTGAACAATAAACTACTAAAAACTTGGAAAATTTAAAAATTGTGATAATTAAGGAAAGATGTTATTTTAAGCCATAGGAGTATTGAATAATAAAAAGCACCGTGAAGAACAATGTCCTTTTGTGGAATAGGAGAAAACAATTTGTTGTTTTCATGTGTAGGTATAAAATATCCCTGGAAGTGTAAAGTAGAAATCAGCTACACAGGGTTGTCCATGGGAAAGGGAATCAGCTCATAGGGGACAGGTAGAATGGAGACTTTTTCATTATAAGACCTCTTAACACTTTTTATCTAGTATGTATGTTAAAAGTTAAAATTTTCAAACCGCGCATTTTTTACATTTTTATGATGCCAAGAGTTCCTGAAAACCGTCAGCAGCTGCCCCACTGTAAGTGAATCCTGTGCTCACCCGCATTCACCGTTTCGAATGCTGTCTCTGGACCTGCAGTGGGAAGGCCTCCCTGGAGGTGCCACCCAACACCCACCAGCTGTGGGATGCTGTTTACTTAAAGGCCCTCACCACAGGGCTGTCACAGTCCCAGCCACCACCCAAAGCACAGGTTAGGTATCACCTGTCGAGTTTCCATGTTTGCCCTGGAATGTAGAGCTTATCCTGTTCCCCCCAAAATAAGACCTAACCAGAAAAGAATCATCTCTGAAAACTAGAGATCACAAATGCCAGCCCCAGTCAGCCTACCCTCACCTTCCCTGCCCTCGCTATTCCCTTGCTTGGCCACTCTGTGTTACTAAGTCCCTAGTGTAAGGGAAGGGTCATTAGTTCCCACTTTTTAAAGACAGGGGTATCAAAGAATCTGTGGCCATATTTTAAAACCACCACAGGGTCTGATCATCAGCACTAGTTGGCTGCTAGCAAACTGGTCAAATGCGAAGGTGGAGGCAGTGGAGGAAGGGAAGGCAGTTTGGGGAGGGAACAATTACTGACTACCTTCAGCGTCCTCACTTGCTGGAGAGCACTGCGGTGTTTCACAGATGAGGAAATTGAGACTCTTCGGAGGAATAGCTCACCCAAGGTCACGTAGCCAGCAAGTGCCCCAGGACTACAAGCACGTGTCACCTGAGGGCCACTGTGCCACACCCCTGGGGAGGGGGGAGCATTTTCGAGTACTTGCTACTTAGACTTATCTGAGCCTCTGCCCTTCTGCCACGGGGAGAAATGTGATTAACACTCCAAGCTGAAGGGATTCTGATGGAGATGTTTAATTTGTTCCTAAGCACACTGGGACCACATAGGTGTTAACTCCTTCAACTGCACCTCCCGTGCTTGGATTTGCCAGTCTGGGCAGTGTCATGCCTTCCCTCAGCCCTGACTCTCAAAGCCAGCCAGTTCTCCTTCCCATTACGGTGGCAGTGGCAAGGAGGCAGCGGGCCAACAGCGGGGTGACATTGAGCACGGGTGTGGGGCCTCCGACAAGCCCAGCAGGGTGGAGCTAGGACAGTCCATCTGCCCCAGTGCCAGGCTGGACTGCGGGCTCCTGATAAGGCCAGGGAGCCACCCACCCAACTCTGTGTCCTCTTCCAAATGTAGGTTTCTCTGGGCAGGCCCCGGGCTCCCTGATCTCTGTCGTCACTCAGATGCCTTTCTCTGAAGGTAGCTGGCACCTTTTCCCTGCCTGGGGCTGAGCCTGACCCAGGAAGGCCACCTCTTACCGCTGGGGTCTGCAGCCAGTGTGTGAGTCCTCACCTCTCCTGCCCCACTTCCTCTCCCAGCACTGGTCTGTCCATTCCTCCGAGGAAACAAACTCATCTGTTGGATTCTGGGGTCCACACTGTCCCTTCTGCTGAGCAAGTGAGACACAGGAATTCTGGCCCCCTGGTAGTCTCCTTCCCCTCCTGAGCTGCATCTCCTTGCACACACAGATGCTTTTCCCTGGGTGAGACATGAGAGGACAGTCACTGTTGGAGCCAGAGCTGGAGTAAGAAGCAGGTTAACTGAGCCATTAACCAGGGCTCAGTAAAAATTGCCCTGGTGAACGTGAAAAAGATGAAAAAGACCAACCCATGAGAGTTCCTCTTGGGAAGTATGTCATCTGTGCTTGAAAGAACATCATGAGGAGATTCGTAGGAAGGCACTGAGACTGCCACAGATGAAAAAATGATTAACAGCCACCTCTTTTTTTTGCTATCTGTGGCTTGTGTGTCTGGAGCCCATCGCTGCTCCCACCCCACCCTGCTCGGTCCTCTGCCCTTCTGCCCAGGTTCAACCTGGCCTCTGAGAAAGGAGTAGTAAATGTGGGGAGGTTATCACTAGGCAGGAGTGGCGAGGTCGTGTAGAAGGGCGGGTCCTGGTCTGCCGGGTGGCAGCAGCAGGTGGGTGGGGCAGAGGCCTCTGAGCAGAGCTTTGTGGGCACAGACCAGGGCTGTGCCGACCGGTGGAGGGACACTAGGAGGGACCAGACCACCATCTCCCTGCCAGCTGTCCGCCCTCCCCTAGGACCTTCACACTGGCTTTAAGGCGAGTAATTTGATTTGAATTTCCCCAAAGCACAGGCCGATCCCTCACGTGGAAGCCTCCAGGACAATTAACACCTGTCAGTCCACTGCTGCCTGCAGAGCAGCTGTGAGTCAATGCCAGTCCGTGTGACACATGCAGGTAAAAAGCACTCCTGCCCAAGCCAGGCATGATGGCAACACCTACAATCCCAGCACTCGGGAGGCTGAGGCAGGAGGACTGCCTCAAGTTCAAGGCCAGCCTGGGCTACAGAGTGAGTTCAAGACCAGTCTGAATTACTAATCAAGACCCTGTCTAAAAAAAAATGGACTCCTGCCCAGGGGCCACTGCCTACTCCTAGCCAAATTGCCCTGAGCCCCCAGCAGTGTGTGGTATGGACTCGAGGGACATCAGCCTAACTGTAGGAAGTACAGTGGTGCCTCAGTTCATGAACATTTTTGTTTGCAAGCAATTTGGTTCACAAACAGAAGCATTTGGCAAAATTTTGTTTGCGAACTGCACTGGGTAACAAACACGACCCACCACGGTCATCTTTCCCACACAAACACAATCCTGGCCGTCTTTTCCAAAATTGTAGAACAAATTAAGGCTGTGAACCGAGGCACCACTGCGGGCCCAAGAAGCTCCTCTGGCAGGTCTGGCACACCTGCCTCGTGTCGGCAGTGCCCTGGGACGCTCCGTTGGGACGGCGCCATCACTGCTACCCTGGCCCCCCGGGGGGACTGTGGGCTCGACTGGCCCAGACAGCACGGATGCCAGGACCGCTGTCTGCCTCTGGGCCTTGGATCCTCTCAGGTCTGGGCTCCTGTGTGGTTCCTCGGCCCTGCCCGGCCTCACCCCGCTCCCTCAGCTTGGAGGCTGGTTCTCGCACCTGGAAACCTGCTCAGAGGACCCCTGTGGCCAGACAGGCTTTTCCAGAACAGACGGGGTGCTGGAAATCGGGCCGGGCCGAGGGTTCCGCCAGAAGCCAGAGCCAGGCCCGGGAGAGGGGCCGCCTCGGAGGCAGACTGGCGACTGACGGCGGCCGAGGAGAACTGGGGGCGGGAGGGGGACTTGGGCGCCACCGCTGTGCCTGGGCCACACCCGGTAACCTCTTCTCCACCCTTGGCTTTCCCGGTTGTCAGGTGGACCCGGCACGTCTTCCCTTGGGTGTTGACACTGGGAATGAAGCCAAGGAAGGTCAAAGGCCTCAGGCTGGAGCTGCCCACTCCAGGCATCCGACGTGGTCACCTTGAGCACGTGAGGCCTGCCTGGGGCCCACCCGCTGCCCCCACCCGAACCGCACCGCCTCTCCCTCTCCGGCCTGGCTCCTTCCTCTTCCACTTTCATTCTCCTCTCGCTCTTCCTTCCACCTGGTTGGTGGCCTGAAGTGGCCAGAGGGATGAAGCTGAGCCTGCCCTCCCCGGGGAGGAGCCACCAGACACACCTAGGACAGCGAAGCTGGAAAGGTGACTGGGCCAGGCCCAGGCCGGTGAGGAGCGGTGTCTCCTGACACCACGCCTCACCTCTGCCTCCCCACCCACCCCTCACTCGGCGCCTGCCTGCCACCTGCTCCCCTCACCCCTGCCCTCCTCCCAGGAGCTCCTCCTATGTCCCAGGGAGGGTCTGAGGTGAAGGGGAGGCTGTGAACTGCAGAGCCCACTGCCACAGTCGCTTCTAGCTGGAGAAGAGACCCCAGAGGGCCTCTTCCTCTTGCCCTCTCCGAGGTCCAGACAAAAGAGATGGGCAGGGACTGCCTGGTGCCCACTCTGAACGGGGCGCTGAGGCTGCCCAACTGACAGCGAAACCAGCGACAAAGCTTTGGGCCTGAAGAGGGAGGTCATGGGATAAGGCAGGCTGAGACCCTGAGGGTCTGGGGCTTGTGGGTCTTGGGAGAGACCAGGAGGCTCCCTCCCTTGTTCCCGCTGGACCTCTGCTACCTTTAAGCCAAGCAACCAGGGTCTGGTGGACAAAGGCCAATGTATGCATGAAGGGCACTGAGGTGTGGCCAGGGGGAGTGGACAACAGGTCCCCTACTTCTGCATGAGGTCTGCAGCTTTGGAGTCTGCTTGGGCGCCCCACCCCCAGGCTCTAGGAGAAGTCTCAAGTGCCCGACTTGCTGTGGGGAGAGGCGGGTCTTCCAGGTCTCCACACCACCCCTCAGCGCACCTGTTTCTGGGAGGGAGGCCCCAGGACACCTCCGCACCGTCTGAATGTTAGTTTTGCCTGCAAGGAGCTGGGCTCTCTACAGCCCTGCTGATGGCAGCGCTCAGGGAGAGGCCAGTGCTACTTAGGAGGGCTTGTTCTCAGCCACCTGGCCTGTGACCTGCACCCCAGTCCCCTAGCCTGGCCCCAAACCTGAGGATTCAGGCTCCAAGCCCAAGCCGGGCTTCTGAATGAGGAGGAGGAGCTGCCTGCTCTCAGCCTAGGCCCATGTATCATCCTCGCCCCAACATTTCCAACAGCCTCAACCATCAAATGTTTCCAAGGTTCTTAGCATGCGTGGGACCCTGAGCAAGAGAAAGGATCAAAGATGGCTTCTCTTGTTGGGCAAATTCTCCTTCCGTTCTTCTCCCACCAGAGCTCCATCAAACAAGCCTGCTGGCCTTGAAAAAGACTCATCTTCAGCTTTCTCTCCAAATCCTCCCCAGGCTTCACAGCATGGGTCCTTCCCAGGGAGAAATCAAGATGAAAGAATAAAAGCAGAGCTGGATTCCAATTCTACGCTGCTCTGGATGATTTGGGGCAAGTCACTTTCTCTTTCTCTGAACCTCGGCTTCCTAATCTGTCACAGGAAAGTAGCTTTCCTTGCAGAGTTGTGTGAGGACTGAACACGGTGGGACCTGTGCCGGCAGGTACTCAGGAAGCCTGTTAGACCACAACTCAGAGGCCGTGGGGTCTGCCATGGACGCTGCCTCCTAAATCTCTCTCCTTTTGGCTCCTCTTTCTGTCCATTGTCATGGCCCTAGTCTGAGCTCCTGTTTCCCCCTGAAAGCATTTACATGATGAATTCCTGGGTGCCTCACTGGTCTCCCTATTCCCTGTCTCTTCTGTCAGCCTCACAGGGCTGGAGAGGTGGCTCTCTCAGATGCAAATCATTGTCCTGGCACTCCAGTGCCATGCCTGACTTAGGAGCGAGATGAAATCCAGCTGCCTTCAGAAGCAAGGAGTCCATTGGTGATCTGGCCCCATCTTCCTCCTGGCTGTATTTCCACACTGCCACTCAGTCTCCTCCCTCCCTCCAGCCCCTTGCTCCCACTCCCATTGCACACGCTCTTCCTCGGCTTGGCATGTCCGTACTCAGCGCATCCAGCTAAGGCTGAAGGGGACTGGCTATGTGCCAGTCACTTGCTAAGCTTTCCATTTTCTCATGAGGTGATCATCCCTGTTTAACAGGTGACAAAAGCCAAGTCTAAGAGGTGAACGCTGAGATCCTGCATGGTCCCAGATCCATGCTCTTCCCTCACCACTGTCTCCCAGCTCCGATGCCCCTCCTCCAGGAAGCCTTCCCCTGCTCCAGGTGTGGGGACCGGATCTGGCTCCGTGTGTTAGGGGGCAGTGTGTGTAAATGCATTTCGAGAAGCAGAAATCCCCTTTTGGGGTAAGTACATGATCAGTCCAACAAACCTGGATTCTGTATGGAGGTAAAAACTCATGCAGCTGCATGGCATTAGAAACTAATTGGGAGAGAGACCCTATCTCAAAATACCTAAACAAAAACAAACAAACAAACAAAAAAACTATTGGTGAATAGTAACAGGGCATAGTGGTGGGCGCCAGTAACCCCAGAACTCAGGAGGCTGAGGCAGAAGGAACATGAGTTCAAGGCCAGCCCGGGCCACATAGCATGACCCTGTCTCAAAACAAAACAAGCCTGGCTACAACCTGAATGCCCAACAATAGGAAAACAGTTGAGAAAATTGATAGAATTGATGGAGTACTCTGTGGTGATTTTCAGTGATTAAAAAAAAGTATGAAAATATTTTAAGATTGTTGGGCAGGCAAATAAGGAGTTACAGAACTCAAAATAGAATGTTTGATTCCTTTTTGGTTTGGGGTATGTGTGTGTGTGTGTGTGTGTGTGTGTGTCTGTGTGTGTGCAAACCAGCATAGGGAAACGGAAAGAACACCAGATGTTACAAGTCCCAGCTGGGGCAGCAAGGATAAAATTTTAACCTTAAGGATGGGTGGAGTCTATCTGAATTTTCTAAGATTTCCACACAGTAAACATATATTAGTTGTGTAATTTCTAAAAAGTGTGATGAAGAGATCGTTCCCTCCACTCTGAGGGTTCACAGTCTAAGAAGGGAGCACGCACGCACACACACACACACACACACACACACACACACATCAAAACAGGAAGCGGAGAGGGTGGGCTTCTCGCTGAGGGGTTCTGGGGACCTCTCCAGGAGCGAATCGAATTTGAAATTACAGTTAGAGGAGACATTTGGGGTGCAACCAGAAAACTGAGCCTCTGGCTCCCGGTTCCCTGAAGACGATGGGGAGTGATAAAGAGCATTTCTTCAACCGTCCAGCAGACCTGTGTCCTGGGACCCAGTCCCCCTCCACAGTGGGGGGACACAGAATCCTACCTAGGGATGGTGTCTTCTACACAACACAGCCACTGGCTGGAGAGGGGTACATTCGTCACAGTAGCGGCCTTGCAGTCATCCTGCTGAACCCCACAGCCTGGCACAGGCACGGGGTCTTCCCTGGGGCCGCCACTCTGCCGAGCGAGCCTGAGTTTCCCACCTCCCACCTCCTCTTTGCCTTCCTTTCCTAAACACTATTTCCTCCCAAGCTACCGAAGCGCGACTGACTCTGAACAGAAGTCAGCGGCTGTGAAGTAAAACAACCTTCAAGATAGACAGGAAGCAGGGAGATAAATCGTAAGGAGGATGCTGAGGGAGGGAGGGCGCGTGTCGGCTTTGGTCTTCTGTTTAGTGGCCGAGGTGGAGGTAGTGGTGAGGAATCGAGGCCAGAAGCAGGAAGCCGGGTTTCCCAGCCTCGGCTTTGATGGTTTCTGGGTCCCCTGGCGCCTGGGAAGAAAGGCTCCATCTCTGCTGAACCAGCCCTTCGAAACTGCCCTTGTCTCTGAGAGATTTGAATGTGCTTGAGCAACCAGCGCTCCTGTGAGGGGAGCCTCCCATCAGGAAGAACGCCGAACAGGTTCACCAGGCGCGAGCAGCGCCCTCAGTGTGTAACCCTGAAGGGAGTGCCCCGTACTCCTAGCGATGTTCACACCCAAGCACGGTTAGAGGCGTCCCAGCCCTGGAATGTGTTTCTCATGGTTCTGAAAGCCAGCGCATCCAAGGGCAAGGGACTGGCAGCACGGTGTCTGGCGGAGGCCTATCTCCAGCTCGTAGATGGCTCTCACTGCGTTCTCACACGGGAGAAGGAGAAAGGACCTCTCTCGAGCCTCTCTTGTAAGGGGCTCTGCCCAAAAAACCCCACCACCTCCCAGAAGCCTTACCCTGTGACACCATCGCACTGGGGCTAGGAGTTGGACACAGATATTCAGACCACTGTAGGGACTCAGAACAAGGGGATTTAGCTCAGTGGTGGAGCACTTGTCTAGCGAGGTAAAGCCCTGGCTTTGGTCTTCAGTACCATAAAATTTTTCCTTTAATCTCAGCCTTGTAATTTATTTGCTGTGTAATATTAGGGAGCTGTTTAATTTCTCTGAGCTTTGGTTTCCTCACTGAAAATACATCTAAATAAAGTGCTGCCCCTGAAAGCATCTATGCCTCATCCCCAGGCACTAAGGAATATTCGCAGACTCTGCATCCCTCTGCAGGGTGCACAAACATTGTGGTAAGCCAGGACAGTGCAAATTAGCACAACCTGGGCGAGAGCGGTCTCTCATTAGGAGCTGCTCAAAGCCCCTGCCGCCAAAAGCCACTTTTCCCCTGTTTGACCCCCACCACATTTCCCCTGTATCTCCTCCACAAACCCCACCAAGCGCTGCAGCCTTTCTCATGGCCCTTCCCGAGGCCTTGGGTCCGGTGCATGTGAGTGATAAG